ATTGAACGCTTTCCTTGAAGTCGACGGGTTAGTAGAGTCCCTAAGCCAGCCAAGAGATTCCAATTGCCGTTTCAATGACCACATACTTTGATCTTCCTTACATGGAGGATCTTGAACAAGCGTTGGCTTGCTCAATATGATGCATGTCTCCAATGCATCATCTAGCAACATAAATTCATTGTTGTTGATTGTTGCAAGATCTTTTGCCTCTAACCATCTTGCAGCAGGCCAAAAGGAAGTGGAAAGCGGAATCGGCAGTGAGGATGCAGCGGCTTTCTCCCCAACTTTGATGATGTTGTGCCTTGGTTCCAACAGGACATGGGACAGTAACTACCTGGAGTCAGTCGATGTACATTTGATTACATGTCCAAGCTGAGCACATCAATGTGACATCAGATATTCCCAGGTTCTCCATCTCAAGGTCTCCAATGCTAGACGCAGCAAATTGAGTCCGGTAGTTCACAGCATGAAATTGACATATGCGAGTGGGATCTGTCTTGAAGAAAGTGTCTACGTCGATCTCTGTTGGGTAAAAGCCAGTGAATGAAGCACAGAAGTCAGCAGGCAGCGCTGAAGGATTTGGCGACTCATCACAATCAACTGCGACTCCATCCAAGGGCCCGGCCACTGCTTTGCCAATCACAACTACGCCAACCTTTTCAAACCAAGGATCTGGGTCATCTGACCACTTCATGACCTTCTGCATGTATTGCTTTCTTGCTGGAGTGAATGAAAGGAGCTGGATCAGCAGAAAGTTTGTGCTTCCATCACAACTGACCTCCGTTGGCACTCCATAGTACTCCCCAACACAAAGCACACTTTTCAAATGATTCAACCACTCCATCACGTGCTTGCCAGTGTTGTTACCAACAACCTGAGCTGAAATCAGGCTCTGCTCTTCTGAGAGGTCTCGGAACATTATCTCCATGTGGTACCCTGAAACCAGCCGAGCCAGTTCTCTACGTGAGTGCCAAGGCGTGTCCACAAGCTTGTGGAATTCCAATAAGTATCGTTCAAAGTTTTCTCTGAAGTTTGGCGACTGAACATCTGAGTTCAAAGCACGCCTCAGATTGCTACTCAAAGTGGAAGGAGTAGAGTTTCTGGCTATGCTGAGCCTTTGGTTCACCAAATGGTGCTTGGCTTCTAACCTCTGCATACATGTGAGGGTGGCTGCATAACCAAATAGTTCCATGAGTAGGCCTGGGTCCATGTCAGCATCATTTGTCGTTGCCCACTTTCTCAAAGCAACTCCAAGCGGCTCTGATGGATCCAAAAACCTAGAAAACTCCCCGCACTTCTGATGCAAGCCCCTGTCAAATTCCCCCACCAGTTCAGCAGCAAAGGCTTTGCTCCTCGCGGCTGCTGCTTCATGTTGTTGACAGAAGAACCAAAGGATCTTCACAATATTCCAAGGGTATGTGGTTAAGTACGAAGTGGCTTGTCGGAATCGCAGAGCCACTGCATGTTTGGCTGTTTGGAAAGACTGCTTGAGAGAAGACACTGCCTCAAGGTCGAACTGCTCAAGGGTAGCCAAAGCATCCATGGTGTTTTTGGACTCATCCAAACGTAGTGAAATCAACTTGTGGAATTCATTCATTTTCCCTCCAGCTATCTCCACTAGCCGGCGGCCTGTCCACGGGCATGGTTGCCTCAATTGTTTCCGCTCCTCCTCTGAATGACATGGGCAGCTGTGCAACCAATTGTAAACGTCAAAACCGAAAGAATGTATTTGCATCTCAACCCAGAGAGTTGCCCAGAACTGGGCAGATGCCTTAGGCTCTGCCACCAAACGCTTCAAAGCATTACCTTCTTCATTGGACATATCGTCATCATGTGCAATCATATGTGGCTCCAAGTACTTGAAAAAGGCTTGCCTTTTGCTCAGCCATCGAATAACTTCATATTGGTACAACCAGCGGTGCGGACACAGGCTTGGGCAGGCTGACTCAAACATCGCTTCCAGCGATTTCTTGGCTCTTTCTGGGATGGAGTCATTTTGCCAAATATATCGTTTCACAAAAAGGTCAAGAGAGTCCCTCTTCCCAAACAATTTTGATAAGCCAGATAACTGTTTGAAGAACAAATCCCAATTGTCATAAGCGAGAGATGTCTCTTCCATACAATGATGAAGCCCATGATCCATGTCTGCAATCGGCAAAATGTATGGGAAATATTTCTGGCTTGGGTCAGAGAAATTCGGGATCGACCATAAGGATGATTCCGTCCCCATGTCAGTCATGAGGGATCGCAGACGTGACTGAGCAATACCATCGTTGCTCTCCAACTGGAGCATACGCTCACACGACTTTGCTTTGAAGGCTGCAGATGTAGATTGTTTACCCAATACTTGAATCGGTAGTAGTCGGGTAGATATTTGCACACTTTCAAACCTCAGTGCGACGAAGCTCAACTTCAACATTGCCCTACTTGTACCTTTAAAGGACAGCAAAGTTCATTGTATGTCTCAAATTACACATGTCCAGTCAACAAACAAGGGTATTCTGGCAGAGTTCAGGTCGCATCTTGCAAGGATCTGGACGGCCCAAAAAGCTAACACGGTCAAGTTCTGCTACCAAATAGTTCTTCATGTACTGGGGCGATGAGTCAAGGCGAAGATGTCCGAACCAGTTCTCGGAAGGTTTGTATATGTATTCCCTTGCAAACAACATGCATGCCCAGTCTATATTCACCCTGAATGTAAAGAGCAGCGATCTCTTTGGAAGCTTCCAAGCCTGACGAGGTCCAGAAAGGGCGTAAAGTGTAAACCAGTGTAAACACCATGTTTGTAAGCAAACAGAGGCTGGCCTGGGATAGGAGGTGCTCACGAAGATCAGGGTGCAATATCAAGCTCAGCCCCCTCAGATGCATGCATGGCCCCACTCAAGATTTTGCCGGAACCTAGCCTGTAAAAATTAGATCTGCAGAACAATAGACAATGTTCACTGTACTGTACACTGATAATTGTTGCTATGGTGCTTCTGGAGCGCGTCTTGCACAGAATCTAGATCTGTCTTCAAAGGTCTCAAGCAATCAGTGAACGTGACAGCATCCAGCATAAAAATGGGGTGATACTGAAACCCTCCCCGCTTGCGTGAAGTTTGCCCGTTTGTTGTCTTGAAGCGGGTGCGGAGGTCCAGTGTAACTGTCTTGGCTGTTTCACAATCCCCTGCTTCGAGCGATTGCAGAATGTCATCCAACAAAGACTCAATGACGGTCTTTTGTTGTTGATCATCTCCATTCGATCGCCCTTTTGGGACCAACTGGTGAAAATTCTGAAGTGCATTGTCCATTAGTACCCGAACCTTCAGGGGTATCAATGAATATACTGAACACATTTGTCACTAGCAAAAATTAACATCGCTAGATCTGCAAATCAACCTTTGCAACTGCCCAACCTTTGCCAAATCTACTGCTGGAATTGGAACTTCCAGTTTCTCAGCATAGTGAGAAGGCAATTCCGAAAGATGCAAACCTCCGGCAACAGTCAAAGAAGAAGAAGCCTGCGTAGTGGCACACTGGTTGAAATGACTACAATGTGAGCAACTGATATAAACACGGAATATAATTAGCAACCAACAGCACAGAACTAATTTCATACTGGCAACTACCATTCGCTCAAAGTGCATGATGTCTGAATGAGGCAGTAACGACCAATTCCTCCTTCCACGACTCTCTACCGTGGACAGAATAGGAAGATCGAAGGGGACCGCCACAAGGAGTGAGTGAAAAGTACGACGATATCTCTCGGTCGGATGATTGTTGGTCTTCACATACATCAGCTTGGTGTATGTCCTCAAAAAAGAAAATATGTGATCAGTGAATCCAGAAAACAGAAAACACTAGCACAACTGAATACAAGTAATTGTTAAGACTTATGACAGTGTACCCATCGCGCCGTTGAACACACCAGGCATATTCTGGATCGTTCTGGCCAGCACGCACAAGTGAGTCCATTGCATTCGCAATCTTCCAGGTCACATGAAGGGAAAAGAGAATATAGTTTATGGCTTAAGAGACACATTGTTCTTGTATGTTTGTATGATTTGGTTTATCCACTACCATGAGCTATTATCAGCTGTGGCTGTGGCTTGACAAACTTGTTTTTGAACTTGAGCCCACTTTTCTGAAATCATGTGTGCTTGCTAGGAGCAACGTCCCTATAGATTCCAAGTGCTTATGTTTTTTTGATTGAATATGCTGCAGCCTGTTTGTCGAACGCGCGACACCAACATATTTCATATACTCACGAAAACTCGTTAAAATGACACTCATCTATATACAAGCTGAGTTAAGTTACAAGTTGTGCCTATACATCATTTTCTGTTTTTTATAGCCTAAATCCAAATATATCAAAAATCACCTGCGTTTATTATAGCCAATTCTGCTGAAATACCCTCGTTGGATCTAGTAGTAGTGACATCAATGTATTTATTATATATCGAATCATCTCTGCCATTGACCAAGGATGATCTTATTGCAACCCTGTAGCCAGTTTTTCATTTCTTTGTATATATCCAGCATCGCATCTTGCAATTCCACCGGAATTCGAAGTCGTTAATTATATAATGATAAAGGTAAATGAAGACACTTGGCAGCTGGGCATTAATCCAGTTATCGTCATCAAGAAGGCCGCAAAAAAACTTGAAGGTCGGTCTTTGCCGGGTCGATGATGACTGGCGTCTTCCACTGCGTCCAATGGGATGGCTGATGGATGGATGGGTTGATAAATACGGAAGTCATCCCCTGAATATAGATGTGTGATAGCCGGTGATGGCCACTCGGATCAAAATCTGTGGAGCATACCCAAATCACACCGTTAAGCAAAAATCAGTCGTTTCTGACAACTACCATTTTTGTCCATCGAAGCATCAGAAACTAATACAACAACCCAATCGTACTAGCATATGTTAGCCGTCTAGGTATTATATATATAATTTTATACAACAGAAAGTGCTAAGGGCTTACACAAAGGCAAATGGGCCAGCAGGGAACATCAAGTCCTCGGCATGACTGTAGCTGATGATCTCATCGCTGGTGCCGTGGACAATGTAGACTGGGCACTTGACCTGTCCTGGGCGACAAAACCGTCGAATTCCACCGGTCGAGACGAAATTGAGGGAAACAAATGCGCAGGCGCCTGGAATTGAATCGAGACGGTTTGTGGGGTTCTTTCATTGACATTCCTTGTTTCGACGCTTCTGCCCCGAACTCACGAGGTTTGGTGGACTTTGATCAAACCGAAACCTGCATGGGCGCCGTCCGCGAGCGGCGTGCGGCGACCCGCCGGGCGAGCCGTTGGGGTCGAGTCGGAATCGACGTCTTTTTCTGCAAACAGGCCCAGTATGGCCCAGTGGTTGCCCTGGAGTACTGAAATTCTCACTTATCCATGGTTCACTCCCCAATGGGTGGCCCAAGAAATCTGACACCAACGATGCAAACTTGGGGAAATCTTGAGACATTGGTGCAGGCAGAGACCACTATATATACCGAGTGTTGCAATGGTGTGCTGCTTCCAGATGACGCGAATGCAGTCTGGGAAGTAGGCATGCATGGTTGCGTTGTACAAGACCAAGACACCCCGCTTCCGCTGAAGTGAGTAGGTACGGTTTGAAGTGGTCTTTTGTTCTTGGTTTGATCTCCGAACATTCCAAGACTCCAACGACCGCCGACGATTTCGTACCCGAACGAGACCGTACGCAGGACGGTCTCGTTCGAAGGACGTACGGGGGCGACTGTTCCGGTTGCAGGAAGGTTGAACACGGCCACGCTTGGACTTTTGGGGAACCGGAACAGCCCCAGTTCGGTCCAAGCATCCAATACGATCCACGTTGGGAAACATATCCTGAGTGCCAAGGGCTTGCCAGAAGCGCCGCCCGTTTTTGGTCGTGCAGAACTGGTGTCTCCAGATTGACACATCTTCAGCGAAGGTCAGTCGCAAGAATCTCAAGGCCCGGCAGTCTGATCTTTGCGTCTTCAACCTCTGAACCGTGACAGTATGGCTGAATGTCATATACTACTGGAGCCCCGCCTCTGAGGATTCACACACACACACATCAGAAATAGAAGTAACACACCTGAAGCTCCGGGCAGGGAGACATGCCCCCGAAAAGGTCAAGCCTTCTAACGTGTCTTTCTTAGATTCTTATGGTAGAGGTGCCATTTGTGGAAGGCTTCTAAATGCTAATGGTAATGGTAGTGGCAATGCTAATGGTAATGCCACTCACCCTGTGACCTGTGGGAGTTGGATGCCTTTTCACCCTGTGAACAAGGTGGAACAAGGTGGAACCTGGAAGAGCAAGTGTTCACAGAAAAAGAACTGCAGCACTGCCAACCTTCATCCCAGCTGAAGCCCTCAGTCCAACTTGTCCGTGACCAGGCGACCGAGGGAGTCTCTCAGCTAGAGATGCGGGAAATCTTCGCCATTGCCGGCGAGAGGTGTCTCCAAGTCACACCATCCAGTAATCTCTTCTTGAGTCCAAACCCTGATAGAGGAGTGTATCCACTTCTATAGATTCTAGTGCCTTGACTTTCTATCTCCTTTAACCCGTGGGGGGCAGTCGAATCCTTGCCGAACTTCTCCCAGTGTCGTTGCCACCCTTGCCGAACTGCATTCGCTACCGAGGCGCACCGGGTAACGTGAAGCTTGAGGAGAAGGCCACACGGTAGATAGACAGCAGGGGGCCTCATCGCAAGGCTTTCCAATGCCTCCCTAGAGTAACCTGAGCCGCCCACCTCAACCTACCAACCATCCAGGAGATGGCCTGGGAAAACGGGCATTGGACTTCAAAATGAGGTCTGGTCTCCTAAGAAAAAACAAGAAAATAGAGAAAAAACATATCTATTAAAAGAAAACAGTGACAAATCACAGAGACAATCAAAAACAAACCAAACCACTGACATACCGGAAAAGACACCAAACAAAAACACAGTGTCCGAAAACAATGACACCTTTTCATATGGACGTAGCGCGTTCTAAACCAAAATTTAATCTCACGCGTTCCAAAATGAGATCAATCTCGCGTTCCAAAACGAGGGGTTTCCTATAGCTACTGCGATAAGGAGGCTGCTGGCCCAATGGCCAAGAAAAAACCAGGAACCATCCTCTTGGAGTGCTTGGAGCTCACAAGATGTTTTGTCCGTCTTTTTTCACAATTCTTCTATCCGTCTCCTTTTGCTCTAGGTCTTTGGGGGTGATCAAGAAATCATATTGTCTAGGTCTTTGGGTTGTCTATAGTCGGTTTTTCAACGCCTCTCCACTTCATCAACCTCCCCATCCACCTCCCCAGCCCACGGGTCCACGCGCAGCACGAGCTGCTCTGCAGCACCATCGCGCGCACGGCGGTGCGCGTGGCCAGGTGGATCGAAGGTCCCGAACCGATGGAGCGGCCGTAGAGGACGATTTCACCTCGGCTGAGCTGAGCTGTTGCGGGTGGACTCGGCTGTCGCGTTTTTTTGGAGCTACAACACTCTATGAACTTGAGTGGTTTGTGTTAATGCTTAAATTAGTGAAACCCCTAGGGCCCCTTATGAAGTTCAATATTAACGCTCATTCCTAGCTAAGGCATGCTATGGCATTTTTGTTCAAGGGTGCCCAAGGCATGTTCTTGTTGAGTGGCTTTGTAGTTTAAAGAGTGCTTTCAATTTGGTTGCTTCAGTGCTTCAACCCCATGCTTTTGAGCTTGGAGAGGACGCTGAATAGAACCAAGGTCACAATGGTCACATTACGAACATGGAACATCAGAAATCTCTTCAGGTGAAACATGTATTGGCCAAACTCGTATGTAGAACATGACATTGTTTGACCAGGTTCCATTGGGATCATGGCTTTTGCGCCAACAATCGCCTGCCATGTTGCTTTACTGTGAAAACATTGATCATCAACACTTTCTCAGCAGCGGATGTTTTTTTTGAACTGGGTAGCAAAAAAAATGAGCCGCAATGCCAAATCATGGCAGGAGCAAAGTCTTACCTTGGGGCTGAGTCCACGAGGACAATGGTTGGAATGGTTTAACGGTTAGAAGTTCCACAACTAACGATGTATATATATATATAATATTGGGATGATAACCTTGTGTCTGTGCAAGAGTTGGTTCTACAACACTGCCCCCCTGCAAAAAGGGTACACATACCGTATCACCTCACCGGGCCGACCAGCGTCAGGGCTGAACAGTCGGACGACGTCGTGACGAGTCGCTCCAAGGGATGCCAACGATGTCTCTCAAGTACTTGAAGGCCGCCTCGATGTCCGCATACAAGGCCTCTTCACCTGATATGTGGCAAAAAAAAACACATCGATGTTGAACCGTGGCCTTCAGAGGCCCCGGGCCCCGTGAGGTGAATTAGAATTGCGAAGGTGCGGTGGACACGTGGATGTTCCAGCAGACTGGTTGAAAAAACAAGTGCACTCGACATGGGCCCGGAGTCACCATGAGTGACCCACATAGGTGTGTTTTTGGTCAATGGGGTGAATCGACCGACCTTCTTGATTGTGGCCATTGTCTTCAGACGTTCTGTTTTTCCGCATGAAGGTATCAACCCAACAACACCTAGAGCCACGGATTCTGAAATTAAAGCTTGCATACATACATTGTGCATAATACTGTGATATATAATATATATACTGTATAATACTGTATATATATATATATACACACACTCCACACCCTTTGGCTACCAAGTTGTTGAACCATTTCGACGCTCGTCTTCAACGTCGGTCTTCACCGCAGAAACCGCCGTTGCGCAGTTCGCCGGGCGACTGGGCGTTCCAGTGCTCATGCCGTAGCCTGTGTAGTCATAGGCGAAGATGTTCACATCTAAGATGTGGCTCACCTCACCTGATCAATGTCTCAACCGGAAGATCTTGCGGCGTTTCACCCGGACCGGTCGGGTGTGCTTGGTGTTGGTGTTGTCACTTGTTTGTCGTTTCCAATCCCACATTGAAATCGACGGAACACCTGGAGACGCGGTAAGATGTGTTTGTGCAAAGAGTTCCATCTCTCAACAGTGTAGTTTTTGTTCCTTTTAACACCATCGAAGTGGAGTGATGGATGCAACAGTTTGGAGTGGAGGCAAAGGAAAAGCAATCGGCTGGAGGCCAACAGGTTGCAACTCCACAGCTGATTGTAATTCGCTTGTGGAGAGGGTGCAAGTGCTGAAGCACACCCTAAAAGTTCGAAGCAAAGATCCATGTGTAGGCGTGTGGGCATGTTTAGGTACCAGCCACATTCAGAAATATATCCTCAGTTTGATGCCCCTCGCACTGGAAAACCCACTGAACGAAACAAATGATGAACGAAACTGTTACGGCTGTTTTTTGGTTGCACAGCAATTTGTATATATTGCCATTGCTTCTTTCTTCCTGTGCACAGGCAGGGTTGCAGGGTTGCCTGGGATACCCCAAAAGTGATGGATGATTATTGTCAGGCTTGTTGGTGCAGGTCAGCAACAACCAGGCAGCAGGTTGATCCACACGGAGGCCATGTTCCAGGAATGAACAACTCAAGGTTTCGAAACAGCTCAGTTGCTGGGTTTTAAACAGTTTATAGCATCAGTGTTCAAACAACTTGCAAACGCACCAACAAGTCAGATTTTCTCGTCCCAATCAAGATCCTCCCAAAAACAGCAGGCTTCATGATCGAGGAGCGGAAATATTGAATGATCATTCCTTGGAAGCAAGGATCAAACACAAACATATCCACATCACTTGATGAGTTGATGAGGTAAGGACCCCAGTGATGTTAAGAAGTGCAATGCCAACTTAGGGAAATTCGTGGAAATTCAAACATGTGTTGCTGGATTTGCATGGTTTCAAGGCCCAGTTGGAGTCTATGGTCTATTGGGCAGGGTTCTTTGATCACAAACCTTCCTTCAAACGGGTTGAGCATTGAATCGACATGTTGGATTGACACTGGGAGATAGATGCGAGCCAGCTGGAAACTGCAATCTACCCCCCAAACAAAACAACAACAGGCGCCACATACATGGCCGAAAGAGCAATTGAAACCCTAGGTCAACCCGCTCCTCATATAGGGAACCTGCACCATCCTGCACCCATTGTGTCACTTGCAATTGATATGATATGTTTCAGAACTACGCATTGAATGCCTTGACAACATCCGGAGAAATTGTTGACATGAGTGGTCAACCATTCTTCTTGCACTCAGCGAACGAGGCTTTCAGGAACCAATGCTGCCAATACCACACCTCGAGCCTCGAAATGCACCCCTACTAGCAGGCAAACTGCCCTAGAGGAACTGGTAGCATCATTCGCGGATGTCTCATTCCAGCCATGTAAGGACCTGGAAGACTAAAAGAGAATAGCAAACCAATGCAAAACTATTATTGCGTGTATCATCCAATTCACATAGCCATTTTGTGGCAAGGGTGATTCATTCGATTCCAGGCTTCCCAGATCCTCTGCATTGCCATGGCTGAAGAGCAGTGTATACCTGGCATCTCGATCGATGAAGAAGGCAGGGATCACCTCAATGGCTTCGGACGGAGTTGCCAGCATCGAAGCTTTGGACCAAACTACTGTATCCACATTATACGTATGTTTGAGGGCACCCTGTGACTAGAGTCCAACAAAAAATGAACAAACAGCTGACCATTCAGCACCAAAATGTTGATGATCAGTTGGACATGGATGAAAAGTAGGCTCAGAGAGGTCCAGTTAGGCTCGAAAGGGGAGACATGAGCTATACAGTTGAAGGGCTCCAGAAACGAGAAAGATCATACAAATATGAACAACAATGCATATGCTTGTGTCTTCCAAGTGTTTGCATCTACCACGATGTCTTCTCATTGCTACAGAACAAATTCATGAGGATGTAGCCAAAATTGGTCCACACGGTGAATCCACACATTAAGGTTACAACTCCCTAGGGCTCCAAGTACCTCCTCAGAAGGTATTTGGACCTTCATACACCTTCAAAGACGGTACTTGGAGCCCTAGGGACTTACAACTCCTCACAATTTCGGATCTTCTCCTCAAAGTCGTTGCGCCCTGGAAGCCCAAGACTTCTGGCCCAACGAAAAGGGGCCCAACGACTTCGGGCGCCCTTTAGTGCCAAGTTGCCTCATGTTCGGAGGTGTTCAGCCAAATGAGATTGGGATCCTTACACGCTGATAGATGCAAACGATGCAACTCTTTAAAGCCCCTTTCAATGAAGAGGATCTGATGACGCTTTAAAAATAAGTGACACCACCTATTACTTCGGATTAAAAAAGAACGGTGTGTACCTTTTCTGAATGTCAAACATTGAAACATGGCAACAAAACATCCTGCACATGTTCCACCCAAGTCAGATCGGTAGGCTCAGGGGGGAGCGGAGCAGGATCGCCAAGCTTCGCGGGTGTAGGTGGCCGGCTGGGGAGGTTGGAAAACGATGCGCGTGATCGCGCCCCCCATGGCGAGCGCCCATAAACACAAGCAGATTTCAGGGCTCGTGAGGTCTAATTGGGAAGGTATGTTGACCCGTATCACTACGTTGACTTCATATACATTCAAATACAACAAGCACGTTTACAAGGACCAAGAACCGGCTAAAACATGTGTGCACGTCAGGTAAAAGTCCATTGGTGGACGTGCTTCATTCTTCTTTTCGCTTCTCTGTATAGTTTACCTTGCTGCTAGTCCCAAGCCCGTAGAAGGATCTGTTTCTCTTATTTGGCCTTCTGCCCTGCGCATGTGCTGTCTTCCGGGTGGTTCCATGGTCAGTTGGTCCTCTTCTGCTCTTCTATAGCGAAAGGTACAGGCACTGGGCTTTGGCAAATCAACTACAATTGTCGATCCAAGAGCGAGTGATTGTTCACCCTCAACAAACACATGTGCACTGCCACGATGTCTACAGCAGCTAAATCTAGTGCTTATCTAAAGCCAGTGCCGTTGTCGGCAATTTCCACACGTCAGCATTTGAGGATAAAATGGCAACTAGTTTGCTGATGCCCTGTTATCAGCAAAGCCTCTCACTCACTGGAAGCCTTAGCCGATGTTCAAGTTCCGGCTCCTGATGTAGACTGTTGATTTTATAATCAAACCCTCATATGGAGTTTTATAAAAGTATTATTATGCTTTTAGGGGTAGCTCAACAAACATGAATTAGCATCGTCTATCAACCCTAAACCAGAACCAGAACGCGTCCCTTGAACGTTCAGGTCGATCCTCAAGTTTACCGCTGTCACCATCTCCTTGCGGAAGGGATCACATCCTCGATGAACCAAGGAATTTGACATACAAATGCAATCACTTTGCTGTGTTTGTTGTTTTTGCCTCTGGCTGTTGCAAAGCTTTGGACCTTGAAGTCTATTTGTCCAACCTGAACCAATTACAACATCAATGGATTCCAGCAACACATCACAGCCAGGGGTGACTATAAATCATCTTGTCAATGTTCAACCTGGACGACCATAAATACTTTGTATGTATATACACAGTTCCTTTAATATCAACTGTACCACCGAATCGAACCATCACTTTTAGCAGGTTCAAATCCTTGTTCGCTATATAGTTTAGTATCGGTATGCAACATATACGTATCACATATACATGTTGTCTACAACAAGTTAAAGACTGGTCGCTCAAACAGCACCTCAATGCCAGGCACCAACGGGCACCAGGCCCTGGCTGTCCTAGAGCCAAGCTCTTGGGAGTCAACCCGAAGGGGCATGTTTTGCACATTCGTGATATTACGGAACATTGTTGTCCAAAGAAGAGTAGAGAAACGCTGTCGAAAAAACCAGGACGAACTAAAGAACAGCAACAATAACACGCTTCATTTGACCGAAGGAACCAAATGGTTTCTTTTCTTGACACAAACAATCAGTGCAAAACCAGCAACCAATCTGATGGAAACCAGTCCACCGCTTTCCGGCGTTGTCCACCGCTTCACCCGACCGAATTCCGGCATTCCAGATCCCTAGCTGCTAGCCCATGCTGAGCACTCCGTTTTGGAGACCCAAAACTCCGTTTTAAGGTGAAAAACCATAAAACACAGGTGTCCTGAGGGAAAAATGGTGTTCCCAGTGGCAACGGGGCTGTCCACTTCCAATTCGAGTCAACAGGTGTTGGTTGGTGCGTGGTTGGTTGGTTGGTTGGTTGGTCCTGATTGGTTGGTCCTGATTGGTTGGTTGGCTGGTTGGTTCACCTGCGCTACACAGGTAATTTGGCACTCCTTGGTCCTTTGGTTGCTTAGTACTCGTTCCTCCCATCGAAGCACAAACGGCAGAAACCCGCTGGTCGCCTGGCCAATGTGAGCCACCGCCACCGCAGCAGTGCAGCCCAAATAGGGCCGGTGGTCCTGGCAAGGAGTCGATTGAGAGGTGACATGATCCGAGTCAACCCCGCAAACTAACATCGCAACCGGCTTGAAAAGGAACAGCATGCTTATGAGGTCCAGATATATGGCAGTCCAAACTTACTTCTTGAGACGTGCCAAAAGACCGGGAAGGGAAGTTGCGCATGGTTGTATATATATATAGTATAATATAATATATATATATATTATAGCACAGCTGAACAAAAGGTGCCTTTGTGCAAGTATGTGTGTGTGTCGGCCTTGGTCTCACAGCCAGTGTCCGTCTGCTTGCATCTGCCACCAAGCAGGACTCCACAGACTCAGACCGTGTCCGCTTCCCGCAAATCTGTCACCCCTACACCAGCAACATGAACTCAAATCAGGGAGTAGGCATATGTCTGTGCTGTTTTCCTGCACAAGCTGCAAATTCTCCCCAAATCGTAGCCCCTAGCTGTAGACTCAAATTCTTCACCGTTGCCAAAGAAGGAGTATACTAAAACTGACCAGAACTTGTCGATCCGATAAACACCCATTGGTTGTGGGCATTAAAACAGGAAACAAACAGCTTGCAGTTTCGATGTGCTGCAAGAACTCCCTGCAGCTCCCGATCTGCCCAGCCTGCCCTGCAGCTGATTAAGTGCGTAACATGCGTCTTCGTATGTGCAGCTCCTCATCACTCCCTCCCAACCGCCAGACCTTCAGTTGGAGTCTGAAACAAATAGCTAGATATAGCTAGTATGTCTCCCTCGCACCTGGCAAATCCCGCCAGCTCCCAAATCTCCATGGTAAAAGGTTCACATGACTATGTTGATATCACATAAGCAGGCTCAGGATTAGTAGAGTCATACATAATTCCCTGCTGAACTTGATGAAACTACAGTAAGTAAACAGGCAAATGCCCACGGTGATCTTCGATCAAGTTCGATCCCGGTTCCATCCAAGGTTGCCTCCACCAGCTGTCCATCTGCGCGGTTGTGAAGGAGGTCCATCACTAAAGACGCAAACTCGGCGTGCGGGTCAAGGGCAGGAACAAAGCCAAGTGTCCAGAACATCCCAGTGAAGGGGATACTGCGGCTCTTGGAAGAACATCCTCCCATTAGGGGGGTGAACATCACTTTCATGCTTGGAGGAAATGCATTTAGCAACATCAATGTTGGAATAGTTGGTTGTTCATCCACCAGCTGGTTGCTGCATGTCGTTTTCTTCTTTCAGTTCCAACGGGACCATAACAGCTAATTAGTAGGAGAAAACAGGATAAACGGAGTCAGGAGCAAGGGACCTTCCAAAACCACATTACCCTCCCGCGGGGGACTCAGGGATCCCACCTGCAAACTCAGAGTCTGCCCAGTTGGGAAGCCGAAGCAGACTGAGATTCGATGCACCCAATGTGAGCATAGACATATCCTCCTGTATCGGGGGGCTCCAGCGCTGATTTCGGGGCTCCAGTACCGGCCTTTTCTCTAACGGTCTTCCAGCCTCGGTCTTCATCTGGGGAAGCTTGTGAAGAAGCTCCGGAGGATTTTTCTTTCTGAAACTCAAGATTGCCGTTAATTCAGAAGTTGCGCATTTGGAGGTGTTTAGAGGTTCAGTCAGGGCTTCTCCAATCACCAATTGTAAGTTCCATCTTTCTGTGGATGGTTTGGCTCGTAGTGTAAATTGGTCGCCCGGAAATGCCCATCCAAATAAGGACGGGAAACACATGGTCATTTGTCGCCCGGATCATTCGAACTCCCAAAAAATACCCGAACTCCAATGGACAGGAGATGTGCCTGCAAATGCTGCCTGCTGCCTGCAAAACATCAGGCAAATGTTGTGTTGTGTCTTCGCTTTTTCCTGCAAACATCACTGAAAGGGGATCTTTGACCTCTAAAGAGTCTGCCGGCCCAGTGTTTACTCTAAATTGTAATATCGAGACCCTTTTCGCAAGACCCGGTCCAGCGAAGACCTGGTCATGACGAACACATCGACCAAAAACCATGGCTTCTTTGTGGGCATCACGGGTGATTCTAATTCGCAGCTCTACTCCAGTGCCTTCAATCTCTTCCTATATACTGCCAGGTCTGTTCTTCCTCGTCACCTCCCTCGACGATCTCCGGGGTCGAAGGGGCCGAAGAGGTTCGTCCGAACCTGGTACGGCCAACAAACCAGGCGCGAGTCCGGTCTCCACCGAGCAGAGCGTCCGTGCACCGCTCCGTTTTCTCCAGGCGGCACTATCGCTCTTGATCCATCCGTCGCAGGACCTGGTGACGAAAAGAGGTTTTTCGATGGATCTGTTGAGGCGCTCCAAGGGTCCTATCGCCACTAGTAGCGGATAGTAGTGACCAGCTGAAAGAGGTGCTGTCGGATGTTGCAGAGGCAACGGATTCTCCAACCAAAGGCTGTCAAGACAAGACCTTCAGAGGTGTTTTGCCTACATGTATATTCCTTTTTCATCCTTTTTCAGTGTATACAGGTCTTTAATTACTTACGTACTATGTTTCAAACATAATTAACGACCATCAAATACACATCATTATAGTGTCATGTACTTAGAATAGAATCTACGGTATAGCTTTTTTATGCTTTTTTTATGAGATAAAATGCAATGGCTGCAATGGGTCGTGACACAATGTAAGGCGTTGTCGGTTGAAAAGTGTTGCTTGTGATGCTTTGCCAACCTGCCTTGGCACAATCGTTTCCGGCCGCTCGCCTTGAGCACCTCCGAGTTCTTGAAATTGCTTCCTGATGGAAGTGTCCAGCTGCTTCCTTGCCACACTTGGCATTGCCGGGTCATCTTCCGCTTCCAGCGCTTTGGCCTTTGTCACTTGCCTGCATACTGTGTTTTGAACGCCTGGTGCTGCCAGACTGGTCATCCGGAACCAAAATTGCAGGCATTGCCTGCATTGGGTCCAAGTTCCCTACCATTCGCCACATCGTTGCGTGTCCTCTTCCTCATGTTCTGCGTTAGGAGGTTGCTCTGGAGAGTTCGCCGCTTTGAACACCCCCCCAGAAGCAGCCATTCGTGCGGACCTCCGCACGTCCACGGCCGCGGATGCCGGAGGGGTTCGGTTGAAGATGGTTCCGCCCCTGAGGGGTTTGGGCCTCTATAGATATGGCTCCAACAAAGCAGCGCCATTCGGTGAAACGATGGTGACCCCGAAGCGGATGGTCCGGATGGTCACAGGCCAGAACTTCATAGTTACCAAGAATGTTGTGCTCACGAGTGCCAAATCCCAAGTATTTGTGTACTGAATCATTATCTATCTATATATAATATACAGTACCCAGGCCTTCTTCGACTATTAATTTAATGGCCTCTGTCAAAAGCTATTCCCCTCCCAATTCCTCTGCTAACCCGAGTTTTTTGATGCTTTTTGATTGCTTAGGAACCCAGGGTTGAGAATACACAGGGGTAACTAAAAAATCAAAAACACTGGAAGCAGAGTCCCTAAAGAATCAATGAAAAACATGCCCTGCTAAAGAATAGGAATAGGAACCTGCCTTCAAAACCCTAAAACACTAAAAAAACAGTACGCCCGGGTTCGAGTCGAACTCGATCTGCTCATGTCCGCCTTGCCACTTGAAAGAATGGGAAACCCTGGGTTGCACCTGGCTCTTTCTACCGGTGTTGTTCTTTAAGGCAACCTGGGTTGTCCGATGTTTTTGGATGTCTTTTATTTTTGGATTTCTACGTATGTGTTTTACTGATTTGTTACTATCTATTTAAAATTACTTAAATAATCTTAAATATGTGTTCTTACGAGCGGTGTTGCTTGTTTTTGTTTACCCCAGCCGATGCCATCGGTCCAAAGAGCTCCAGGTGCTGCCAGGTACGAGTTGTTGCGTTCGGCGGAGCGCGGATGCGAGTTTGTTACGGTAGACTTCAAAAGAACCAGTATCTCCGTCTCCATCTATCTCCATCTGTTTTGAGAATCGAAACGAGATCTCAAAGCCACACGAATTGGGAGGTGTCGGAGGTGCTGATGTGAATTGGTTGCAGGGGCCTGAAAAGAGTCGTTTGTTAATCCGTCGAGACCCTTGTAGAATATCACCCACATGCCACGTTCCGTATCTCCTGCGGCCCCCGGCGCATCGTAGGTGAAGGTTCTCCTCGGTGCCGGAGGTTCTTCGGTCATTCCCAACTTCGTGCCCTGCAAAAAAGAGTCCGACTTTCAGCAGCACCGGCTGCGGAAAGGCTGCGGATGGGCTTGGCCTCCACACCCCTTGGTTGACATGTGGCCCAAGCCCATCCGGGCGATCCAAGACAGCGGTGTGAGCCTCGGACACGTAGGCTGCGTGGGCTGCAGTGGAGCGGTATGGTGCAGTGGTGGGATGGGGAGTTGGGTGGAACGAAGTGGAACGAAGCACCCAAAGTGCCAGAGAACAAGAACTGAGTTGGGTGAAGTATTTTTGGAGATCAGCGGAGAGCAGCTACCAGAGCAGCTAGTATAGATTGTAAGCAGTGTGTGAATAATCATATGGTGTCGCATGGGGTGGCCAAAACCGTCCTGGAACACGTTTGGCGATGGATAGAGATTGGATCCAAACTTTCCCATCCAGTGACGATGTCCACGCCAACTGCGGGCAAAATGTGTTGTGCCAATGCGGATCAACAGTCATCTTCCAAGCCAAGTGGTCTAGATCACTCACAGGACCCTCCTAAACAAACTGATACGGAAGAATCGGATGCCTTCCATGGGGGGCCATGAAGTGGTCAAACGTGCTCTCACACATACCCAAAGCACCGGCGTGGCGATACCGGCGCACCAGGTGTCTCAATCTACACGCACACAAAGCAAAAAGGAAGTATATAAAAGGACTTACACTCCTGGAGATGGAAGGGAGTTACACTTACACTCCTGAAGTCCCTCTACTTGCTAACATGGAAGAGGAAAATGGTCCCTTGGAAGACTACTTCCCTTTACGGAGTAGGGGGTGAACTCCACGTACCCATGTGATGTGTTCGTCGGAGAGTACACTCCTTGAACAAATCCATGGGTTTGTGGAGTTCACCACCTGGTTGGTCTTTGGAGCATCATCCGTATATGATATGGCATATGGGGGCCATGCCCTGTGCCTTCGATCTGGCTGGGAGGCAATGTGCTTTTCAGGCAAACTCAACTGATTAATCTTACAGGCGACCATGAGCTTTGAGATGTCAAACGGTGATAGATACGTATCAGATTGAGGTGTGAGGGGTGCATCCCTTTTGTAACCTTTTGTTAAGTATCCAACAGACCAAGCCATTTCAGAATTTGCGCTCCTTCACATGAGTGAAGTGAAACTGTTGGCATTCTCAAGCACCCAAAAAACTCACCAAAGTGCTTGACCTGCCGAAACCGCTGCCACTGGGGCCCCCGAGCACCGCATTCACACCGGTCTGAGCGACCGGTCGGATGAATGCGAGGTGCTGAACGCTGAAGATCTTTGCGCATGGGGTTCGTAGCACTGTGTCAGCCTAGAATACATACCTTGCACCTCATTGAAGAAGTGAGTCCAACTTACGATGCTCTTCGTAACATTGTTTTCTTCCACCCAATATCTTCCCGCTCATGGTGCTCGCTGACCACGAGACTCCTCTTTTTCTGCCGCGGTGTCGGTGTGCCATAAGCAGTTCGATGAGCTTCCAGCGCCTCGGAGCGACTCGGAGGAGGACTCCCACGGCTCTGCTTCACTGAATTTCACACCATATTAAGTGAACATATTCATGAATTTATCACCATATTCACCATATTCAATTAGTTTATCACTTATTCTGAAGAGTGATGAACTCCCCATGATTCTTCCATATTCTTCCAGTGTTACACTGTAATTAGAGGATGACCATGGAGGAGCCATTCTCACAGGGCAGAGCATTCATCAATATTCAACATGCTTAGTTGAGAGAGACAACAAGTAACTTTGATGTTGATGCTATCCGCGGTCAGATTAAAACCGCGAGTTAGGCAATGGAACGTTGGGAGAGCATCCCAACTTGGGCTATGCTAACCGCGAGCATTACAGACATGAGTCCTTCTGGTGAGTCTGTACCATTTTGGTACCTAAAAGTTGGCCTTACTTGTTGGGAAAGAGTTGGGCAGTAGCGTCTTTGGGTGCTTCTGCTGCGCCTGCCTCCTTCTGCTGAGTATTCAAGGGGCTCACCCAAGTGGGTGCCTCCGGCGCTATCCAAAACCTAGACAGCTATGGGCCAAGTGCAAGTCGACTTCCAAAGTGGTTGTGAGGTGGAGCCAGACCACCAAGACCATCCGGGCGGACCGGTATTGGATATTGGAATGGTATTGGATGCGTCTCAGATCGTATACAGTAGCCTTCTAAACCTTCGTTATTCACGTCCATTTCCATGATTCTTTCAGGGAGTGTAGCCCATCCGCATTCACATCAAGTAGAACATGTTCTCGAGGCAAAGAAAACCATCCGCATGAATTTGTTCAACCATTCTTTGCCTGGACTTCAGGTTGGTTCCTTTGGTGAGGATGCTGATGTCCGCATGAACCATTCCATGAATCATCACCATCCGCATGTTCTCTTCCCAAAGCATAAAAAAGAAGTGGACTCCGGTTGATGCTCCCAAGAATGGTCGATGGAACTCATTCCTGTGAGGTCTACTTTTTGCTCCAGCACACGAGTGAGCTGGACACGATGTTTCGAGAGAGCCTGGATCCAGCAGGTGGTACGAAGGAGAAGCCAGCGCCACATGATCACTATAGCTACATATCTACTAGGTGCCTAGGTGGGTGTATTGAAAGTAGAAAGCTGTGATAACTTTGGAGTTGACCAACATGATTCTGGAACAAACAACAAACGGAGGTCCCTGGTAGAACTTTAATCTGTTACCACAAGGAGCCGGAAGCTTTACTTGTTCATCCTTCTGCACCATGTAATGATCAAATCAAAGAACACCACTCAAAGGAAGACAAACACTTGAGAGCTTTCTAATTGTTGTGTACTTGATGGTGTCCAACTATGGTGGTCCATGACGCGTCCAAAAATGGTGATCCTCTGCAAGGCTGGCTGCAAAGCGGCTTTGGCGTACCACTCCAACTGCTCCAGCATCACGTGGCAGCTCTGCTCAACCCTCTGCTCCACACCGTTTTGGAACCTGAGCATCACCCTCATGGTCCGCAAGACTCAAACAAAAGAACTTCTTGCAAGACTACTGTATGTGCAAAACAAATCCGGTTTCTTTGCGAGACTGCCACTCTCCCAGCATTTCCCTGCCAAGAGTCTGTCTCTTCACATGAGGAATATGAAGCGCCTGCAACTGCAACAAGCATGACCCTGTGCCTGATTTGCCCTTGGACGCACCCAAGCGAAAGAATGAAACCCAAACTGCCCAAACCCTAAATGGATCCAACTAAGTGAGCTGCGTCAAAGCCAACAACTATTTCTTTACGATAATTTGATCATCCAATTGTTTGACGTCTTTTGTTGCGAGGCCGTCCCGGCCATTTGGACCCTCTTTACGTCCGACATGTTACACTTCCAGACTTCCAGGCCTTGTTTCCTGTACGACACAAGCGGGTCCGAGCGGGTCACCAATCGATGTCTGGGGCATTGTTGAGGTGTCGAAGTGGTTCAACTTGTGGCAGCTTACTCGAAAACAGCATTCATGTTCCCTCAAATCTCAATCAACCAAAATGTAACCAGCAAATACAGCAACAAATGTAAAGGATATCATTGATTGCTTTCGGAGGGGCTCGTGTCTGCATGGTTTTATGATGTTTTATGAATGCATCTAAGTGGATCTAGGTGGTTCATTTAACGTCTCTACCAAGTACTGCTGCTGCTGCTACTACCACCAGCACCACTGCTAGTACCACTACCACTATGACTATACGACTATACAACTAAACGACGACCACCACCACTGCCACCACTGCCACGACCACGACCACTGCCACTGCCACTGCGACTACCACCACCACTACCACTACCACTCTTTTTTCTCCTTCTCCTCCTCCTCCTGCTCCTCCTCCTCCTCGTATACTTCTAGCCCTCCTCTACTACTGCTGCTACCACCACTAACTACTATGCTTCGGATGGTCTTCTTCGTGAGCAGGTGGTGTTGAAGCTTAAGGTGTTTGGGTCTTTCTGGACTGACTTTAAGGGATGCCAAACTGGATCCATCGGACATGTCGGACACCAACAACCTGTGCTCTTGCCTTTCTCAAATATCATGCAGGTAAAATAACAAAGGCGGATCAACAAAGAACTGGCTAAGGAGTGGTCTGCCTTTCTCAAATAACAGAACGCATTAGATAAGACATGGTGGTGGGTGAATGTGGGTGACATCAAGCAGAATGATGAGAATTGTCGAAAAGGATCAAGTAAACCAGCCCCAATTCGTCCAAAAAACCTCCAACAGTACCTCCAAACCGGATTGCTTCGACCTCCGAGCCCTTCAGGCTTCAAATCCGGCCGTTCTAACGGGTCGCGCCTCAGGTACCGTGAGGGCTCCCAACTTGGACAAGGCCTCCCTCAAAGCGCTTGAGGGAAGCCGCTGGGCGAACCTTGCAGATTGGTGCAAGCAGCAAGTGCTGAGCAAGTCCCAATTGAAGAGAGCTGACTCCGCAGGACTTGAGGGTGTAGGACAGTGTAGGAGTTTAGTTTGGGGATTTCGCCGACTCATTCAATGATGAAATGTTTAAGCCAAAACCTGGTTTCTAAAAATGCAATCCCAAACTGGGGGCCAAACAAACCTAAGTGACAGTGACAGCAAGATCGAAAAAGTAATCACCTTTGAAACTCAAGATGTATTGAAATTTGTGCAACTATCTGGTTGCAAACAACATGGACCATGGACATTCCTGCAACTGTGCTGACTGGGGTGGCATGTCGGAAATTCCACCACTATAAATATATTATAATTGTAATATATACATACAGCATTACATAGTATTACATAATTGCAAGGATGTTATACTCATTTGCCCACCCATCATGTTTGAGCAGTGACCCACAGGTTGCTGGGGCTAATGTATTCCAGTCAGCAAATCAATCCAGTCACAGCACCCGTTTGTGAGTCGCTTTTGAGTTGATCACCACTTGGTCCGTCGTGGCCCAGCGGTTGCTGTCGATCCGATAAGACGGGTAGCATCCACCGGCTTCGACTTTGCTACAGAAGTCAAACCAACGCACAGCCTAGATTCCTACGTAGATGTTGATGTCCTATGATATTATGATGGATGAATCCCATGTTCTGGCAAACAATGTATTTCAAACCGCCCAACGCCCTCACCCCACTGGAGTTCCCAGAAACGTCCTTGCTGCATACCGACAATAGGATGCTTTCTTATGAGGGTGTGTGTGTACCCCTTGTAATCACAGGGATTCCGTTGAATTGTTTTTTCTTTTTGGCAGGGGCGTGTGGCACTCTCGTCCTACCACACGCAACGAAGCTGTGGGCGAGAGTGGGAAGGAAAACTTGGCCAGTTTCCTGTACCTGCTGTGATGATTACTCCAATCTACAGGCCCCTGCTTGTAACTAGAACAAGACCCTTCTCTTGGCTTCGGTTTGCAGTAAAGAGCTAATGAACTTACCGCCGTTTTGCAACTTTGAGCTGTGAACTTGACTTTGGAGTTCATGAACGTTGAGCTTTACGCTTTACACTTTGAACTTGGAGATGAGTCACAGTCCTGCACGCACGTCGTCAACCTGTCGAGTGATCGTCGATGCTATTGGTTTGGTCTACCTGTACCTTAGGAATGGTAACCTACGCCGGCGTGTGGCACCGCTGTCAAGTCAGTACGCATTTCCACAAGTGTGTTCAACCGAAGGCCAAGTCAAGCATGAACAGAACTGGAAGGATGTACGCGGACTGCCATCACCGTGGCCCATCATGATGATGAGGAGGAGGAGGAGGACGAGGACGAGGACGAGGACGAGGACGATGATGATGATGATGATGATGATGATGATGATGATGTTGATGACGATGATGATGATGATGATGATGATGACGACGACGATGATGAGAGAAGTCTTGGATACTGTTTGTCTAGATGGAAACAACATGACACCATTTTGAAGAGCCAACGATAAATCAAAGCGTCATAAAACCAGGCACGCAGAGTAGGCGCAAATGCCCCAGGGCTTATAGCCAAAGACTTCGAAGCCTCGAACGCGCACATCCAAAGGGGGTCATTGTCATGAACCCATGAACTCTAAGGTACACCACTACCTGTATCTATCCCTAAGATCAAACAATAACAAACAATGAGGAAGCAAGTGAAATCTTTGGCGGTGTGTCTTTCGCCAACAAGCCCTCCTTGATAAAACCTGTTGCAGCAACTCCAGGGTGAAGTCTACAAGCATCTGCCCCTGCGAATCATCAATTTGGTGTGTTGCCCCAAAACTATCACTGTGACACCCCAAAACGACGCTGATAGGTCTTCTCATAATCAAAATCCTGAGGAATGGCACCGTCTTCAAGCAGTGACCTCGGATCACCTAGGCCTTGATGCCTGAGAAACCTTCAGCATGGACACCGTGAATCTGTAAAAACTGCCTAGCACTGCTTACATCAGTTACATCTGTAAGAGGCAGCCAAGCTAATCATGTCAAGGCCCTTCAGTCGCTGCCTATGTTTTGGACTGAGCTTTCGCATGCGGAAGGTGATCTGTGACGAGCTTTCTGAATGCGACTGGCCGGGAAATCTCTTAAGTTTCATTAAGTTTCAGAGTCCTGAAAGGCTCCAGCCACCCTCCAGTAATTTGCGAATCGCACCAGGTAGCTTGAGAAGCTATTCTAATGTTTTACAGGGGTAGATTTGGTACCTATAACCGGTTCTTGACTGGGGGGGTATCCCCTTTGTTAATCAAGCAACATGAACACTTCGATCTTCCAGGTGGCCCACTATTGGAGCCACAGTCCAAGGCACCTAGGCGCGGCATGAGCTCTGCCACCACCTGAGGATCTTCGCAGATCCGAGACCAGCAAAAACATCTCGGGGGATCCGAGACCAGGAAGATCTTGTGGAGTATCTTGGGCGGTGCGAATCTGCTTCTTGGGCTTTCTGGCATTCAACCCTCCCACGGGGATGTGGGACATTCAACGGTGCCGAAAAAGAAACTGCCTGGCACGAAATCATGCAATCTGGCTCTATAGAGACGGGAACTGTCACAATAGTTGTTGAAGGCAGGACTGGGCCAAACGCACTTGATGTTTTCACTGTCACACACTTAGAACCAGCTCAAATAGTACAGTAATACCATTCAAATCATGTTTGTATATTGCACTCTCGACTGAGAACTGGCTCAAAGTCCCGCACACCATTCTTGGCAAGCTAAGCTCTGGTAGTAATAAAGAACATGGGATGTGAGCAAGAAACGCAGTGCGCATATGTTTGACACAAGGATGGTAACTTCGGAGGTGGTTTTAGTGAGCGCCTGTCCGAACAAAAGTGGGCCGGCGGCAACCTCTCAACATGAATCATGGGGGATTTGGGCACCAGGCAGGTCCTCTTGCAATTTCTTGGTCGACCCGCAGGCACGAGCCATGACTAAGTTAAAATATTGTGTTTGTTGACTATACAGCATGTTTGTTTGCAATTGGGTTCCAATCAAATTCCTTTTACGTTGTGTCAATATTAACGTTAAACTGTCTAGCTTAAGTCTACATATCAAACATCATTCACTCACAACGGGGGTCCTGCGGGGTCCTGCGGGATAGCATACAATATATATATATATATGTATATACAATTATATATTATATAGGAAGAGCAATGTAGTATTAATAAAATATCAACATAGTACAAGCCTAAGTGTCTTTGGATACCCATGCCAACGACGTGATCCGCAATACCTTTGTGTGAAAAGTTGATGATGCCTCCAATATGAATCAGCTAGCAAGCTATGCAAGCTACACTTAAAAATCATCCATTGAGGATCATCTACAACAACAGCATCAACTATGTGAGGCTTCAAAAACACCGATGGCCAAAGGTCAGGAGTCCGGTTTCTCAGACCTGATTCAGAGTCCAAGCATTTGCTAATTTGCTACACAAACAATTCCCCCTCCGCCTGACTCACCCTCCCCCAGGACAACCGCTCCCTGATGCACCCCATGCCTCCGGCTGCTCGCCCTCTGCTTCTGGCGCCGCCAAGCAAAAGCAGTCGCAGCGCTGCAGCTGCTGCCGCAGGCGTCCCAAGGCCGGTGGCTCGGTGCCTTGCGAGCCGAGATCCGCAGCGGTCGCCTCGATCTCTGAAATAGGGGGATTCCATGGGGTTCCTGACTGGCTTCCTGATGATTCCATGGGTTCCTGTGACTGGTACTCTCCAGACTGGTACTCTCCATGAGTTGGTTCAGATTCAGCTATTAATCGGTCAATGAATCAAGCAGTAAGAAAGACCTCAAATACATTCAAATACCTTGCACATCATCCATGGAACCAAGCGGCGAATCCCCTACACTTGCCTGGTGGGAATGGAAAGGAGCGGGGCTTCTTGAGCAATTCCAGCAAGAAGCCTCTTCTGCGTTGCTGCAAACGAAGTGGGAGACAACAACAGGGAAATTACCAACACAAATCATGTTACAGGCGGTCTTCTCAAGGGTGAATCATCATGGATGTCCTTTCGACTTCTAATTCTGTTGACGCAGAAGCGGCTTCGACCGAGTCAGCTTCGAAATAACTAAAGTCTCGAAGCGTAATCATGAGCACATTCATGCTCCTCAGAAACTTTCAGGGAAACCCAACCAACCCTACATCGGCAAACCACAAAAACAAGAACGGAGTCAGGTAGACATAGGTAGACGGTCTTTTACGATCTGCGCTGAACCAAGTATCCCAGCCCACAACCCCAGCCGAAAGCGGGAGAAGCCTACTCTCGGCGGGTGTTGCACTCACATATTGGACTCCCGGTCTCTCTACATGTCGGTTCCAGAAAACACCACAGCTGAGCTGTCGCATTCTTCAAAACCCCAAATCCCTATGAACGGTTCGTTCAAAACAACATAAGAACAATTAAATTAAGAAGCATGCACCTGCCCAGCTAGTTCTTAGAACGGCGATGGGTTCCATCAAAGGGGTGGTTGGGGTGCCCATATCCACTTCATCTCAAAACCACCTCAAATTGTAATAGTTTTCTTCTGCACATATTCCACATATGCCAGCGTGTCTAGAGCTCCAGCTTGCTCCAGCTTGGGAGCTCCGAAGGTTCCTGGAGCTCCGAAGGTTCCTGTCCCGGCCTTGCTCGGACACGATGGGATCCACCAGCTCCACTTCCACTCCCCGGTCCTGCTGCCCCGCTCCAATCGGCATGTGGAAACCGCGCGCGGGCGCGGTGTTTCCGCACCCGCGGTGCCACAGAATCATTGAATCCCTTCGCTAGGGATCCAGTCGTGCCTTCTCAGAAGGTGATTGGAGACACTGTTGCAGGGTCCAAGTACCTTCTGAGAAGGTACTTGGATCCCTATTGGATCCCTAAGGCTTTGCAAGATGATTCAATTTCTGTGCGTTCGGCGCAGCGTCCAGTTGTGGTTTGACATGGTTTGACTCTCAGCTTCAACCTTCCAGAAGGTTTCCTTCAGGACATGTTTGCAGCTCTAATACCTCCCTGGCAGAGTTTGATTCTGCTTCATCAGTTTGAATGATTGGTGGGATCTTTGGACGCAACAGCCTCCGCTCGGTCTCAAATGAGTTTCCGGTGCCCGGACCAAACCACCTCACAGCGCGACTCACCGACCGTCCCGCCAGAAACGCGGTGCGCTGCTCGTCCTCCAGTCGTGTCCGCAGGAAGTTCACCACCAGTGGCCCCATGCGTTGGGAGGAACTGTTGGTAGAGGCCAAGACCACCGCACAGCGAAGCGCCATGGGAAAACACGGCACGGCTCGGTCTGAGGTCGGTCTGGGATGGTGGAAACGGTGGGCAGAGCCAAGAAAGGCAAGGATGGACATGAGTTGTGCTTGTCTGTTTCAGAGTCAGGTGATGAAGGCTTGTAATATAGAGATTTGGGATGATTTAGATATATTATATATATAGTTATATATATATTATATATACTGTCATATTATATTATATAAATAATATATATATATAGATAGTACATATTACTGTATATGAGGCATCTTGGGACTGAAACTCCGACTCCCCAACATGGAAGTGGAAACCACCTTGCTTGTAAAGGAGCATTGCCTTCCACAAACAACTTGCGTCACACTGCTCCCCACTGCCCTTCAGGTTTGACCCGGGTACAGGGGAGGTGTATATGGCAAGAGATGAATGTAAAAAAACATGTAAACATGGACCTAGGTGAATCTCAAAGTCACAAGAAATTGAATTATCCTCATGTGTTCATGGCGGTAGTCAGACAAAAGGCCGCGAAATCAAATCCAAACGTTTATCTCAAGAGAAAGCCAACGTTCCACTTGGTTTGTGACGGAGGGTCAACTCCCAAATCTCCTGGGCGAGATGCTGACCATGCGTGACCATGTGTGACCATGATCCATGCGTTCTCGGCTTCGGATGTCTCGACTTGGAGATGGGAAGAAGTCGAAGCCTGAATTCCATGGACGATCACTGAATGATGGTGGCCCATCAAGGCAGTAAAGTCTATGTAACAATTATAACATGTACATCTGCCATTCAAGCTAAAACGATCTTAAAATGTCATGGTATAAAATATGTACAGTAGCATGATCTTCCAGTTCGGGTGGTCTACAATGCCTACCCATGGTGTCCGCACACCATCTTTTGCTGACAAACCCTAATTGAGGGCCAGTTGGGGATGTCTGTGACCGGTGCTGATGGTGTGAACTGGATCTCCGTACACGTTGAGCAGTTGAGCCATAGCACCCAAGTACCCGCATTCACCCTACCAGCAGGATACCGACACTTTGATGTATTGTATGTGTTGTGTATGGGACCCCCAAAATGAAGTAACAAATAGTGGCAACTTGGAGGCATCCCTTGCATTGTGAGATCCCAAAGAATGAACATGCAGGCCCAACACTTCTGATGCAACCCTTGAGCTGAAAGTCTCACAGACTAGGCACACGGACTCTGTCCCAACCCTCCATGACTCAATGCTCCCGCTTGCCCAACGACTCCGATGGGTGCAACGCTGGCTGGCGCGACCCCAACGACTCGGGCGCCCGAGCCAGACAGGACTGGGTCGATTGGTTTCGCACGTTGTCCAAGGCCTAGGAGCGGAGCGGAGCTTTCGACCGGGGTTTCGGCGCCCAGACGGAGCGCCCAGACGGGCCCTCGGACGGCAAAGATGACAAACCTTTTGGTCGATCGAAGCAGATGCTACTGCGTGGGCGAAGCAAGGTGGGGGAACCGCCAACACCGGTGTCATGGTACACATGGGAGGAAACAAGGAAAGTGGAAGGACACCCCCTTGGGCTGGATGTGGATGTGTCTGCCCCAGATAAATAACAAAGAACAAGCACACACACACACACATGCCATCTACTTGAAGTTGAAGGGAGTGAGTTGGATCTAACATGATCTAACTATGCAAAACAGTCAGGAGCCACCTCAAAATGTCACTGGATGTTGAACCAAAAAGAACCGTGCATTCCACATGTTCTGTGTATTATGAGATCCTATAGATGGGGATGGGTCAAAACGTGGAGCCCCAACAACATGTAGCTTGACCTTTGTCATGTAGAGGGACATTTACCAGAAACCCCGGGTACCCTGCAGAGCAGAAGGACTCTGAGGTGCGCGTTCAGACAGTCGCAAGTATCCCCGGTAGGTCAAGGAAAGTATCCTGGTTTTGACCCACTGCCTAAATGTCATCCTAAGCACGCTGTTCAAGTGAGGTCGCCCACTAAGGGGTGTCTCGCAGCCTTGCGGCTCGGCTCGACACCGAGGAAGACGCACTGTTTGAACTCATCTACCAGGGTCAGCAGCGAGCTGTCTGAATTCTCTTTGGAAGTGCGAAGATGCAGGCCAAAACAAGACGTCGCTCCCAGGTGGAATACTGGCAAACGTAGCTGAACCTGAGACGGCACGAAATCGTGCATATCCTTGAAGGCGCGGAGATCTCTTGCACATTGTGGGCAAGGATGAAATGCCGCTTCTGTGCAACCCAGTGCAATTGAAACAAAGGCTGCACTAGACGAGACGACGTCTCCTGCCGAGTCTAAGGTTCAATTCTGCCGGTGAGATCCTGAGACGGAGCCCATCAAGCAAGGACATACCGGGAATCTGAGCAGATCGGATCGCTTCAATTCGGTGAATTGGAGGGCGCCGAAAGGATGACCACATTCCTCTATACACCACCGGTGGTAAACTCCACAAACCCATGATTATTGTGACATGATTTCAATTTACAACATGATCCTTAAAATTCCCGGAGCAAGCAGAAACGAATCGAACAAACATTAGACACCGCAGCTTGAAAAGCTCGTCGCTTTAAGCGCGTGACCGAGCGCCCGGACCTGGATGCCTGCATCCATTATCACCAGGCTCGAGGAGCCGTCCTGCGGCGCGCCCATCCGTCCGGAGCCCAGCACGACGAGCCCGGAGCCCAGCACGTTCTTGTTGCACCGGGGTCACAGTCCACCTGTCAGGTTTGTTTGCTGTCTATTTCTCATATGTCAACATTGACTGAACATCCGCTTTGGCGAGCTTTGGAGCTGAGAACAAACTTGCCAGGTATGCCAAAACCTGTCTTCAGACAAAACCTGTCTCCACAAAGGTTTCCAAACAGCCAGTGCCGCGGTCCGTGTCGAATGTCACACTGGGGCCGTTCATGCCAAAGACAAAGGAAAAGCGATTGGACCTCAGCGATTTGCCACCATCATACAGGAAGGGTCCCGAATCGATTCGGAACCGAACTTTCGGAACCGAAAGTTAGCGAACGTCAAGAACGTAATTTACCGAACCGAAACCTTACTGATCATAGCAAGACTGGATGCATATCTTACTTTCCTCCGTGGCACGGGGCAAGCATTCCTACCCTGTTCCGTTGTATTCTGCTGCTACTCCTTTAGGCTGAACGGCAGGACCCAACTCCAACCTAACCACCGAAACAGCCTCGGGCGACTCGCGCCAGTTTTGTGGAGGCCCACAATGGACTTCCCAGTAGGAACAACACTATCATGGAATGTTAAAGGTCAACTGCATTCAAATGCTCTCTTCAGGGAACTCTTGCTCTGGTGAGCCTCAAGCCTGGCGCCTGGAAATCGGCAATCCTTATTGCCTCTTCTCTGTTCCCAGTGAGTACACCTTCGGACCGTTGACACCTTCGCAACAAAGAATGTTGAGAGTTTGTTTGTTCACCGAAAATGGACTCTTTCTGGGTGCTCAATGGTGACAACTGGGTCATGCCCAGTGCGTGGCTCGCCCCCCGGCGCCCGCGCGGTTTCGGCCAAGTCACATGATGGAGCCCGCCACGCCGGTGCCGGCAGAGCCTGGGCGCCAGGAGTCTAGGAGGCGCGGCGAGAAGGCGAGACACGCCTGGGGTTGCCCTGAGTTGGGCTGCTCAGGACTTCCCTTGCTGAACCCGTTGAGTCGTCATACTGGAGAAATCCATCCTCCAAACTGCAAGAACAACCGCAAAGACTTGCAGAAACCAAGAGAAAATGCTCTGCCCAAATTTTTGGATTCGTGTTTGCGCCTGAAGGTTGTCCAAGCCACCAAACCCGCGATTCTACCAAGCGATTCTGGTGAGTGGATAGTCATACTGCATGTTTCACTAGGGTGATCCTCAAAGTCCTTGGCCTGAAAGGACGCAATAATATACAAGTACACATATACAGTATCTACCTGTGCGTCATAGCTTGACCACCTGACGTGGCCCACCGTGGTGGAACAATTGGAACCACCGTGGCCCACCAGCCGAGCAGCGACCTTTCGGCCCTCCCGAAACGGTCGCCGTCGATCGGGTGAAACGTTCCAGGGCACGCTGGGCACAGCCACCAGCTTCAGCCGGACCAGTGTCAAGCCACCTGGGTTGGGTTTGGGCGTTTCTGAAGGTGTTCAGATCAAGTTCACGTTTTTTTTCTCAGGCACCCTTGTTGGGAGTTGATGGCAAGGAAATGGAAGGAACCTCCACATCTGCGAACAGTGCTTTTTCACAGACTGGCCATTACCGTGAAGTCATACTGCTGTTGAAGTGACATGATAGTTGCATACTGCATACGGTTGCCAATGTTGATTAGCTTCTTCCTCCAAATCACGTGAACTGTTGGTTCATGTTGGTTCTAACTTTGTTGCCCGCAATCACTCCGTGGTATGAGAATGGTGCAACGTTGCTCGGCATCGCATTGCCTCTGCTTGTGGGCGCATTCGGTTGATAAACAAGTTCCCTTCCGGCAGTCAGCATCCCCGTTCAATCCATCGATTGCCAGGACAACTCGCCAACACTCCAGAACCTTTGTTGGAATGGAAGGTGGTGAGGGCAGTGCAGGAAGGTCTTCTACCTCAAAAAGAACTGCGCTCTTCCTCCGCCCTCGAACCCCTACCTCAAAGTCCCACAGTCCCATAGAGCTTCCATGTGTTCCATGTGTCTGTGTAGCCGCTATCAAGGTAGCTGAAAGTACGATAAGAGACATGGATGCCTCTTTGGATACATTGATACATTATAGCCAGAAAGGAGTAGGAAGTGCAGGTGGTAGGAGTCCCTCAAACCTTCACTAACGAGGGTCTTCAATGGATGATTAAGGGTAATTACAGCCACCAATGGTACCAAGACCTTGCGGGCATGAGGAAATATGAAGATCTCGAAAGGATCCCCCAGAAATACGCCAACCAACCAAAAATACTCGCGGGTGTCGCCGCACCGGCACAAAACAATAATAGAGTCAACCTGAGTCACCCTGCTGAGTCTGAGTCCTTCATCCAAACTCAACAGTCCAGTCCATTAGTCTTCCATCCAGACCGAACCCTTCACACTTCACCGGAACCAGTTCCCCCCCGTGCTTCCCAGACTCGACTTTGCTTCGGGTTCCAGCCTTGAGCTCCGCGCGACCCCACCATCGACTGCGACATCGCCGATATCGCTCCACCAGTCGGGCGCCCCCGACTGGAACTCGGAGAGGGGCGACGCCACGTAGATTGCCGTCAAAGATTGCCTAGATCATTCGTGGGTGTGGTGATCTAGCAGGTGCTTGACAGGGTCTGGTGGGCGTTTTTGGGGGGCAGTGATGTGCAGTGGGGAGAAGAAACCTCCAAGAATCTAGAAGGTTGGAAACCCTTCGAAGCTCTTCCGTTCCAAGAGTCCGCCTTAGCAGTCCAGAGGCTTCCCCCCTGCAGGTGATTTTGGAGATCATAAATCATAAATGGATCTGAGGGATCGGGTCCTTCGAATGGCTGATCGTGGCTCAACACCTGAAAAATCCCCATTGAGGGAACAATGGAACTGCTGAGTTGTGCATTAGGCAACACGAACCGCTCACTCAACCCTAGGCCACCCCAAATCCATTTCACCCAGCAGCTCCCCTATATGGTGCAGACCAACGGGTCCAGGCTCGGTTCGGCCGCCTTGCGGCACAAACGCATGCTGCCCTACGCAACCAAACCCTATAAATTTGTAGGGTCTCAATCGGAACCTCGGGTATTCTTGTGAAATCAAAAATACCTCAGGTTTGTTCTTAAAACCTCGGGTCTTGCTTTTCTAAACCGTGCTAAACCCATATTTAACCCGTACTAAACCCATATTTAACCCGTACATACCCGTACTAAACCCGTATTTTAATATTGGTTTGGAAAACCTGGGGTTTCCTTCAGAAACCCTAGGTTTTTTCATCGACCCTACAAATTTATAGGGTTTGGGTGCGTAGGGTGGTCCTTCATCATCCTTCCCCATCTTCACTTAAGAGGGAATTCGTGTCTTTTTGCGGCAAACGGCAAAAGCCCCGGATGATATGTCAGTTCTTTGTATTTTCCAGGCCAGCAGCATGCTTCCAAAAAAGAATAATTGTGATAGTATACGACGACCATGCCCATTGCATACTGAGAAAAGCAGAAACAAAGATCGCCAGAAACACGGAGAGAACCACGTGGAGAGATTCAGCTGCTCCCGGGAGCACCGGCAACAAGCTCTTGTGCGTGAAACCCGCATTGTGCAGGGCTGCGTAGCCCACCTGACACGCTCAGGCTGACCGAAAAAGATGCGACCTCTGGCCCTGGCTGAAAAAAACAAAAACGATCTGTACCAAATACGGTTCAAAAACACCAAGGAGGGTGAGCCACTCAGTGGGATAGTGCAGGAATGACATGGATTCATGGATCTCGTTTAGAGTTCCAAGGATTTGCTGGCGGGACCTAGAACACCGACTTCCGAAATGCAGCTGTTGTTCTTTTCATTTTTTCATTTCTTTTTTCGCAGGACACCTGTTGATGGTTAGTGCTAGAGAATCTGGGACGACCTGTCCGACACTTGTTCTTCCAGAACTTTGCGTTCGTCGCGTCTAGCAATCATCGCTTCTACAAGTTGGCATTGAAATGTGAGCATTTAGCATCCGCTCGATTGTAGCTTGTTGATGCTTGTTGATAGACATCATTCATTGTAGCTTGCTGCTTTCTTCCCAATGTGGCTGACCGTGAGCTGGCGGTTCCCGCTGTTCCCAAGGTGTCTTGTTGGCCGTTTCCAAGGAAGATCGTTAAGCACTATTGGTTCGATGCAAGGCCCTGCATCTTAAGCGTTCATGTCCACGCCTTCCGTGATACATACTTCTTTCATACATTGCATCGGCTGCATAGAAAAAGGAAGAACAACACAGAAGCCAAAAAACAACCTCTGACTCTCACTCATCAAAACTCATCCCGGCAAAAACACATACCTCATTCAACATAAAACCAATGTCTAGAACATGGCGTTTTCACCAGGCAAGGCCTCCCGGGGTCTCTGTCCCGGATCTCCCAGCATCTCCCACCTCCAAGATCTGCCGCTGCAGAGGATCCATACCTCCGCCGGATCTTCACGCGAAGCAACGAACTGGGAGGGTTCTCCGGGTTCTGAAAGGGACGAGGTTGCACTCCAAATGATGGACATCTTTGATGTTCATGAATGTTCATCTCACCAGCACAATTTGTAGGTAAATCTTCCAGAACATGGAGTGTCAATGCATGGAATGTATGGAACACCAGCAACCCCTTCGATTCCGGCCGCCGCGATCTGCCGTGTCACTCGATCTCTTTTTGGACACAAGCGTTTGAAGGTTCAAAAGCCCAGCAGGTGTGACAAATTGGCAGGAGGTTGCCACATTGGATCAAATTGGCAGGTCTTGTTCTCCTTTTGTCGTGCGCCGTCGCATCCACATTTCAGATCGTTCCTCCTTCTCTCCTGACCGGTCAGGTCGTGCCTCGAACCTCCGCAGGAGCAATCCTGTGCATACACGTGACTGCGAAGCAGGGAATTCTCCACGTGACCTCCTATTATGATGCATGTTTGGATTCTCAAACAATGTGTTCCTTGGACGTAAACCACCCAAAGCCTTCTTGCCCTCAACATGCCTCAACGTACTTGTCCTCCCAAATCCCCAATTTCAAGGCCCTTCTGAGGTTCAGCGGGCCTTGAGGCAGCATTTATATGTTGTATATATATATACACATTGTATGTACATGTATATATATACTGTAGTTATATATAGTGAGAGAGAAATGTTGCATCTTCCAAGATCCGTGGAAGTATCCAAGGAACATCCAGGGAACATCTAAACTGAACCATGTTGGCTGGATTGTAACAACTAGAAACCAATCTCACGAGAGGTGTTGGATCCACACCCGAAAAGCAAAGGAAACTGCTCAGCTGCTCAGCTGGTTGTTGAAACACCTCCGTCGGCCATGCGCTCGAGCTGAGACTCCAAGAGCGGTCCGGTCCTGAAGAACTTGGCGTCAAAGAGCTCGATGCCATCGATGAGGCAAGTGTGGAAGCAAAAGACCTGGCGGCCGATTGGTACGGCCGACCTGGTAGTCTTTTGCTGCTCAGCTGCGAAAACACCAGGTGTTCCCAGCTCAGGCCAACACCAGGTCGCAGGCCGAAGAATTCGGGAGTGGTGGCCCTGGTGACCCTGAGGGTCCACAGGGGTGTTGTTTCTGGAGGTGAGCAACTCACGTTCTTCTTTTCGTGTTACATGTGGTTTGATCGACTTCAAGCACCCAACACATCGTGCGGATCGCGACTTCATGGGAGTCAAGCACGGAGACCGGGAGTCTCATGTTTCAGTCAAGTGCAGGGTCAAGTGCAGGCTATGGCTTGTCGGTCCAGCTGAAATCAGTTGTATTGCCTAACGGAATCTGGACGGTAAACTTGACCCTGACGTGTTGGCTTTGAGGTCGTAGGATTCTTCCAAGAGTACTTGTGCAGGTACTTGGGTGCAGTAGATTAGGGGAGTTTGGGGTTGCTACCCTGGAGGTGCGCGCTGGGGAGCTGTGGTACTGCAAAAGCCTAAAGAAATCTAAAATTTTCTAAAGACACTTATCTAGCCCAGCAATGTATATCATAAACCCTAGGGCTCCAAGTACCTCCTCAGAAGGTATTTGGACCCTCCAAAACCACCCCAACACCTTCTCAGAAGGTACTTGGAGCCGGAAAATCATGTAATATAATATAGGTGAGATCCCGGGGGACCGCCACGTTCATCAATGTGGTCAAAACACGTACTTGGCTCGTTTTATGCTTTGCTCGGTTGATTCCATCAGCGCTTCAAGTTCTTTAAGCACCAAGTACACACATTCTTCCAGTTGCGACAATCTGCTAGGGTGGACAAAGAGATGATACGAGTTCATCTCACGAGCGTATCTATTATATATATTATATCTTTCAATGTGGGGTTTGTAATTTAATAGGGGCACCCTCCACAAATAGGGTCCTACGGGGGTCTCCCTACTTTAATGCATACCCATGTGGTTGCTGTGACAGCGTCCAGCGGTTTGCACCGGTACGAGAGATGGTCGATTACTCGATGTGAAGGCCAATCGGTGTTCCAGGGTCGAATATGGGAGATGTCGTTGCAAACTGTGAGCAATATCGATGCGCCAAACGATGCGCCAAATCAGGTCTTCTTGGGAGCAACTCCTCGACTCCTCGACCACTGGCATTTGAACATGGTCCCTCAAACATGTTCCTCAATCCATTTGGGTGATGTCCAGGAAGCCGCTCCAAAACCGCTCCAACCCTCCGCCCAACCCGTCCCGGCTTTCCCAATCTTCCAGCAGTCTGGATCATTGTCGACATAGTACGCACTATGGTCCCATCGGGCCAGCGGCACCTGTCCCAGCCGTACCGGCCACCGGTGACGGATGGCACCAAGGAAACTGTTTGGGAGGGTCGGACATAAACAGTGGTCCTCCAAGAAGGTCAACCATCGACCGAGTTATTGGTACAACAGGTGACCAGTTTTGCAGTTTGAACACTATTGTGTTTCTAATGTTCCATATCGGTTCTACATCGGTTATATATCGGTTGTACACGTTGTATATTGTTTTATGTATCGCCGCGCTCTTCAGTTTACGGCCAAAAGTAAAGGGTTCTTCAGCAACATATTGGCAGCTAGATTGTTGCAAACGTGCACTTTGCCCGAATTAATCAAATAATATATCCAATTTGTGTGCAACCTTCCAGAGCAATCACAACTTGCATGTTTGGCAGCTTCCCACCCCCACCCCTCACATCCCTCACGAGGCACTTGTTCAAACATCCCGTGGCTGCAAACGAACAGGCTTCTCACCATTCCAGCTTTCCATTGGACCCGACTCATTGCGTTGCAATTGAGGAAACGCATGCATAAAATTTGAGACAGGTGTTGCATCTAAATTGAACAAACCTGGACACTATAGACACACCAGAAATCGAAGTGACGCAGGCCGAGCCAAATCACAGTTCGCCTCACAGACCTGCCATTTGTTGCCGGGTCGAATGCTGAAAAAGGTCATGGGGTGTCACACCGGGCCGGGCCCCACCCGGGCCCCAACCCGACCCTCCCAACCTCGGTAGCGAAGTCCGTGCCCTTCAACAAGGCGTTGTTCAGGTGATTGGGGTCCCAATTGTTCTGCCGGCGGCGAGGTCGTTGGATGAGGGAAGGTTGGTGGGGATCGGTGGAGTTGGAAGAGGACCAGGTCACCATAGAGGATCAGGTCATTGAATCATTTGGAGTCCGCAGTTTTCCAGAGTTCTCTCACTTTCAAAAGCCATCATCTCAATCAGGACATATAGAATAGACCGGGAACATCTCCTCAATGTGGACATCCGGCACAACTAACCAGCTGTTTCTCTTTATCCTCTGGGAGAAAGGGCATTCGCATGGTCCAAAGGACAGTCTATGCGGATCGTTGGTATTGGGGGGAAGCCAAGCAAGTTGGCCACATTCTCCGAATTGGGCTGGGTTACGGACCTGGAAGGGACATATTTGACTTAGCAGGTGACACTTTCCTATACATTATGTTGCTTTGGTGCCATCTTGTGTGCAAATCGGGCACACGTAGCATTGGTCTTCCATGTAGTTGTGTCTCCAAACACATCCATTCAACCCTCGTGTGTGGGATAATTGGAACCTTTCCTGCCAACTGGTGAGATCTTGAGATCTGCAACAAAATCAACATGACCTCTTTAGGACCAGAATCTCCGAGCCGTTGACGGAACTCAGTTCCATCTCAAGAGTCATGGCGTCATGGCCCTCAAGTTCGGAGTTCAATTCCATCACTTAGAGAACCCTATGATCAAAGTGATCGGATTAGGTAAAACATGGATTGGAGTTCAAGTATTGGGTCTGTATTTCTGGGCCTGCCATGGCCTGCCATGCGGCATGACATGAGCATGAGTCTTTCTGGGTGTGCTCAGTTCAACAATCGTCTCAGGTTTTTGGTGCTGGGATTTGCCACACGTACACTGCACATACGGGACACTCAAAGAGATCGAAATCATCCAAAAACGGAGCAAAATAATATATGTATCATATATAATCATAATGAAGCTAAGTTCCATGAAAGCATGGATCAAAACGAGCTTCAAAGGCCCACTAACTATATACTGTATTCCAGAACCTGAGTGAAAGAAGCCTAGCAACGCTGGCACGGGAAGTCACGACACTTCCTCGCGAGAAGGCTCTACCTAGCAGCCATCCATCATCCATCTTTGTTTGTTTGCAATGGGTATATAGCTGCTTTCTAAGACTTGCTTAATTGTTTAAAGGCACCTTTACTGACTAACCCACGCCTTAAAGAGTGGTCATTGGAGGAATCAGCTCTTTGGTGGGTCCACAAATGGAACCGCCACAAATGGTACATCTTCAAACATCCGGCAAATTCACGTGTCTCTTCTCTTTTGGGGATTGGGGAATCGAGAAAAGCACCACTTGGGGACCCTGGCCGCCATCTTGCAAGCAGTCCCACGCACGGCATACCTTGGGGGTCAATTGACCGGAGCAGAATTGAGACCATTCAGAAGTGAACAATGAAGAATGTTGATGAATTCAACCCCGCGTATAACCCCTTTATGATGAGGGGTTGCAATCCAAATGGGAGGGTCTTATCACTTAACAGTCTACATTATACATTTGTGAGTATGTTATGATGGTTCAATAGAGAATTCAGAGTGGGAATGGTTTCACATGGAGATACAGCCCACATGGATCCTGAGATGGGTTTTGACCGCCCACAACCGTTTGTTTCCACTCTGCACACTTACCCTTGCAGACACTTGATGGCCTAAATCGGCCAGAATCCCTGTTGCTGGATTGGGATGAATTGGCCAAGTTCTCTTGCCAGGTTCCTTCCACAACCAGGTTCCTTGATTGCTTCGGTCTAGCAACCAATCCCTACAGGTCCGGTCTAGGACCAAAAACTGGTCCTGAAAACCTCATCGAGTAGTGTTTTTGCATGTCAGTTCCAGTAAAGTGAGGTCAAACTAACCTGTAGGGAGTGATTTCTGTGAGCTATGCTCCTCGGTACATGGGAGAATCTGTTCGGTGATGCGAGGTGAAACAGTACTTTGCGAGCAAACAGCGGAAGGGGAGCCCAAAGTGGTTGGACTTCTTAGAGGTGAAATGTGGATAGGAAAGTGACCTCCTCCTCCACGAAATGAACAAATTTCCTTATTAGACAGCATGAATTGGGAGAAGTGGAGTCCACTATTGGGTGAAGCCTAATTATATACATATACCAGCAGTCACAAAGGGGTGCCTATTGGACGATAGGGGGTGCCCATTATCCACTCACTTAGGGACTAAAAACCACACCTTTGTGACTCCTGGCAAAACAATATATATATTATATATATATATGTCAGTACATATTATGTCATCCACTCATATGATATAGACATATATATATATAGCCATATGATATCCTTTATATCCTTTATATATGCTTTATATCATCGGATCTTTGGGGCCAAAAGACAGCCATGGAAATCCTATCAACCACACCCTCATCCTCGTCTTCGTCCTCATGACTCCCAAGTGGCGTCCTCCCCGCTGGACTGTCGTTTTGAGGTGACATCTGCATTCTCTTTCAAAACAACCAAGAAAACCATGTGAGGATGATCCTCCTATACGGGACCTGTACCTGTACTTGACCTGGTTTAGCACCCCATCCGAGCCCAGCGGCTGCTCACCCTTGTGGTACATGTGGTCCAAGCTGTAGAGCCATCTGTCGCGATGGATGACGAGAGACCCCGATGCGACGACGAAAGCGGAAAAAGATCGGACGATTCGCATCCACACAACCCCTTGTCATGTTGTATGACGGGTGAGGGTGGAAGTACCAAGTGAAAAAGATGACGGTGTGAAAAGTACCGAGTGCCAGTATGTACACACTATGAAATGTGAAACCGAACTGCGTCGAAAGGCAAAAAGAGGATGTCCACAAACAAGAAACTATGTTCAAGGGAAACTGTCGGACACCATCCACTTGAATTGATCTAATTCGTGACAAATGCACCTCAATTTCTCTCTGGATGCCCATGCCAAATTTCACAAACCCTGCGAATAAGGGTGCGCGCTTGCGATTAAGGGTGGGGCAAGTTTCCCACTCAACTATTCTAACCAAAAATCATAGATTGCAGTTTTGGGGGTAGAAACTTAATTCGCGCATATGAAAGCTTGTGTGAACTTATCTGGGTGGCTGTTAAGGGGGATTTTGTTTCCCCCAGCTACTCAGCAACAGACTCTACTCAACAGACTGAGCCTGCCAGCTTGTCTGGTCAACTCAACCTGTGATTGATCAGTGACATGCCTTCCCACAGCTTCTCAACCTGCCAGCTTTTCAACTCAACCTGAGTCCTCCCAGTTTTTTCTGACTTAGTCCGGAAATGAGGACGTGAGTCGTTCCAAATTTTCACGACGTTTAAAATCAATGTTCATTTCATTTCTCGGTTTATTTATTTTGAAAAGTCCAGGCATTAAGTTTAATAATAGTTGGGTGCAAGTTAGTTTCCCGTCGTGATTTACCCAAGTCTTGACATGGATAAATCACGACGGGAATAGGAAGCTTTTGATTTCTCAGTCATTGTTGTCACCGCAGCTGTGTTTGTCATTGTCACCGCAGCTGTCCTTGTCCGTCATTGTCACCGCAGCCGTCCTTGCCTGGTGCCAGTCACCGTCATTTTGTGCTTGGACCTCAGCTACATCCCCTCTTGGCCATCATTGGCATCCATTAAGTATTGATGATCAGGTCGGATGGATCTACACGAAGCCATCGAGAAGGTCGAAAAGTGTGTGGTCAGCTTGGTCAGGACGCACCCGTTGGACGCACGCATTGGACACACACATTCCTTAATTCGACACCTCCAGGAAGAAAATCAACGTGACCTTGGATACCTCGATCCAGCTGGTGGAGTCCATGATGAAGCGAGACATCACCGAAGATGAGGACAATTGTCATGTATAATTTATTATGTTAGTTTATTATTTTTGAAATTGTCACTGACCTCCATGTACTGCTCTGTTCGTCTCTGACCTCAATTGCCAGGCCATGCAGGTGTTCCAGACTTTGAGCATCTCCATGAAACTCATTGAGAAGCCTCCTCAGGCCAGATATTCATTCCTGTCATTCCCGTCAGTTGATGTCATGGAATTCCAATGTCAGGGCGAAGACCAGGACCCTCCAGGACCAGGACTGCAAAACAAGCAGAACGGTTACGCTGAAGCTTGCTAAGTGGATGTGACAATAATAATACAGTGATTATATAGTTTCATTTGACAGGAGTTACGGTCGCGGCGCTTTGCAAAGAGTGTCAGTGACTGAATAATAACAAGCGTTCTGTAAGTTGCCATGGCCAGATTCCATCAGAGCCACCTTGATGCCAAGGCGTGTTCAACATGGCCGATTCTGACGAGCACGACTGTTCTGCCCCGTCCTCCTCCTCACAAAGGCCGGCTTGACTCTTCGGCCACTTGCTGTCATTGACTCTGGAGTGCCTTGATTTTGTCATTGTCATTCACCACATGCCAAAATGTTTGAGGCTGAACGATGTTTGGCAATGACATTCAAGACATTCAGTCATTCAAGCAGTGCAAGTGGCACTCAATGACATTTTAATGACACACACTGACTGTTCTTCCACGATGAACTAGCCTTTTTGCACAGTTCCTGAGTGAAGCCATGTCGTCAACGCCGGCACAGCGAGTTATCATTTTTGGATGGGCTAGGAAACCCAAGCCCCGATACGACAAGAAGGCTCAGGCGTGAATATCGTCATCATTGAGTTTTTGTATGTTTCAATTTAATTGTTTGCGTTTGTTTGAGACCAACTTTCAACAAAGCAGCATCAGCATCATCTGATGAGGTTGATGTGATCCTTGATTGCGGATGGAGAATCTCGAGGCCACATCATTACTGGAAAAAGTTCAAGGATCACTGGACCACAATCGACATAGACCTCGCAGAACACCTCTTCCACACCAAAGATGGCCACTATTGGGGCGGCCGTCACAGCGGCTGCGCCCATCACGAAACGCAGCGTGGAGTGACTGGGCTTAACGATCTTAAACGCACGTTGAAATTGAAAGAAATTGTCCTGGGAGTGTTCTTGCCCGTGGCTTCAGCTTGTGTTGCAGGTCTACAGCCACCGACGATGCAAAGATGTCGTGCAGATGATCGTGAACTTATTCAACGAGAATATCCTGAGGATCTTCCTTTCATGCAATGCTGGGTATCATCGCACTGGAGCCTTTGTGATGCTGATCGCAAGCATCTTGTGGGCGCTTTGGACACTGTCAGTGTCGTCATTGTCAGTCATTGTCAACTTTGTGCTGTTACTGTTTGTGATCAGATTGTCACTTCTTTGGCGACCCGTTAGACAAGCCGTTGAGGAAACTGGAGTGTGGGTATGCCCTGTCATCGTCTCCCTCTCAGATAGTTGGACCCATGACATCCAGGACTGTGAGAGCTTCTTGTCACCTTCCAGTGACTCTTTTCAGACACGGTACCTTGAAGGCAAAATTTAATGTCTTAAAACCAGACATAGGTTGAGTTGACAGCTGACGGGTTGAGAGTTGTCTAGCCAAGGCAAATGGCATTTTATCGGAACGCCGTGCTCAGGGTCATTGGCCGGAACCGGGACCTGCAAAATGAAGCACGCTACGGGTACTGGTTGGGGGCATGCCTTGATAACTTCTGGAAAGAAAACACCTGCAAGCCTTGGCCGTCGCTTGGCTTGTGTGCA